TTCACTGCGACGACACGTCCAGGGAAAATACACAAGTGTTAATTATAATAATAAATTATATATTATTATTATTATTATAATTAATAACATTTATTAATCCCTAACCTAAATCTATTTCCCCCTCCCGTTTCTTTCTCCCGCACTCGTGGGCCTCTGCCCTAGTTTTGGCTCGCTCGGTTTTACCTGGCCCGCTCCTTCGTGTCGTTGGAAAGACGCGTTCCCGCGTTCGCCTCTCGCACGCGAGATGGGCCTCGCAGGCGCCCATCCCTCATATCTTATCCTCTGACTTCTGTGTTTGATCCTCTCTGCGGCAGATCATATCCTCTGCCCTGCTCGATCCCTCTGCCATATCCTCTTAATCATTCATTCTCCTTCTCTGGTTTTATTAGAGCTCGATTTAAAGCCTTTCAGAGAGCCAAGAAAAAAATCTCTAAGAGAGGGAAAACTCTGTCATTTTCTTTTCTCATCCTTCTTCTCTAGCTTTTAGGCTTGGAGTGATTTGGCTTTTGTTGTTGATGGAAGATTGAAAGTGGTGAAGTGCATTTGAAATTGTTGTTTGGCTTTTTGCTTCAAGGAGGTACCTTCTAACCCCCCTTGTGCTTTACTCCTTTTCGGTTTTCTCTCTGCCGAGTCCTTGAGGTTGGTGTTGTGGATGGTATAGCATGCTAATCTAGTATTGCACCTATATTTTGAAACATTTGTTACTTGAGCATGTGAAAAATAGGAATGTGGGCATGTCCTAGGAGTTGGGTTTGATCACTTGCTTAAGATGGTGAAAATATGGCATGTTATTAGCTCCTCTCTTTTCTTTCTATTTGAAGCAAATTGGAAAGATTAAAATATGGCGTTGAGACAATGCTAGGTCCTCTCGAATGCATGTTGGGATGTGTATCATAAGGCTTTTTATTCACTCTTGCTTAGCATGAATTATTGGAGAACTTGTTTTGTTTTCCATATGCATGTGAGGCTCTTGTTTTTTTTTTTGGTTTTCTACGGCTGTTCCTCACTTGAAATACATGCTATGAAAGAATTTATTTAATTTGGAAAGTCCTATAAATTGTTTTGATGGCTTGGTTTGGCTCTTCACGAGGCATCATTTTGTTTAAACATCAGTTGGAAGTTGTTTCATGCTTAGAATAGTTAAGTTGGGGGCCTAAATACGCTCTCTATGTTATTGTTCTATGTTGGCCCTATATCTTGATGTTTTGAGGGCGTGAAGATGTTTTCTAGCCTTTGTTGTGGCCTGGTTTTTGAGCCTTAGCTGCGGCTCGGTTTGGTTCTTGTTGGTACTCGGTTTACACTTTTCAGGCACGAGATATTGATTTCATTGAGGCTTTTGGCTTTAGTCTTAATTGAGGCTTTGTCCTAATGATTTGAGTTCCATTTAGTAGCCTCGAAAGTTTGTCCTTGGCCCTAGTTGGGGGTTCAGTTTGCTTGCCTTAGCTCCTACCCGAGAGCCTGTTTTGGGTGTTTGTTCCTGCCCCTGCTCAAGAGATGTGGGAGGGTTCAGTTTTATTCGCTTTAACACCTATTTGGGGATCGGTTTTGTCTTGTTCTGCTCCTACCCGAGAGGTAGTTTGGGGGCTTGATTTGGTTTGTTCTTAGTCCAACCCGTGAGCTTGTTGGTAGTAGGTCATTTTGTTTGGCTTTGGCCCCTGCTAGGCTCGGTTTTGGCTTGTGCTGGACTCGGTTTCGGCCATTTGTTGGTTGTGGTTTTTGGCCTTAGTTGAGGAGCTCGGTTTGACTCATTTTTAAGCCCTGGTATAGGTTGCTCTTTTGTCCCGAGGTTAATTTCCTTTAACTCATCGACAGTTGACTTGATTTTTTGCTCAAATTCTAGTGGAGCATCCTCTATTAGCTAATCGGTAGAGTCATTCACTACATCGAGACAATCCTCTTCAGATTTACTAATAACAACCATGCAAAATCCTGAATCATCGACTGGTCCGACTGTACCAAATCTGAGACCCTCTTTTGAGTTGAGAGATCGACTTTTAACACTCCATAATTTTTTAAAAAGTTGTAGTTTACCTTATGGCATTTGTTTTGGCAAATGTCCCCATTAAATTAACTTTTGTACATAAGGCGAAAAGTAATCAAAAGGCAATTCCATTAATTCATTAGGATCATCATCAAAATTTACATAATTTTCAAGATTAGTAGAGGTAGAAGCACGGTGAAATTTGATTAGTTTTGAACCAATACTACAGAGTATATAGTGGGGCAAAAAATCCGAAGGAAGAAAGAAATTTTGGAACCGCTGGAAATTAAAAAAAAATATAAAGTGATGCTCAGAAATTTTCAAATATGATTGGTTGATATTCTTGTGATTTCCTTATTTTTGAAAATCGTGTAATCCAAGTACTGCCACAAGCGAGTTTCAATTATGTTGCTAGTTTTGTGTGTTTAGTCCAATTGCTAATCATGGATTGTTCAGTGTCACTACTAATTATTTTTTTTTATTGTTGAATGTCTACACATTATTAAATATCTTCATTCAATAACCTTGATTTCAGACACAATTATTATGAGTTTGGGAAGCTCATTAGTGTTTATTCATGAGAAATATATCTTATAAAAATGATTTGATGTTACTTTAATTTGGATAAAATTAGAGCTTAAATTCATTTTTTATCTATAATTAATCCCCATAGATACCTACTAAACTAGGAACAAGCAGCTCACCCATATGTAGGGGTGTAGCTAAGCCAAACCGACTTGTTAGCCGGCTCGGGCTCAGCTCGATAAATGGCATGTGAGTAAGCTTGTAATCGAGCCGAGTCGAGTCGAGTCGAGTTGGGTATGTCATAATAGATTGGACTTGGCTCGGTCAAATCATAGGTTGTTCATGTTCAATTCAAGCTGAAGCTGAACATACACAGATATGTCCAAACGCAGCTTGCTTAAATTTTCTAATAAACATCTTAGTTTGTACTTTGGCTTGCTTATTTTAATTGAATAAGCTAAAAGTTCAAATGAGAACTATACTTTTCATATAAAATTAAAATTTTGATTTGTACTTGATTTTTTTCTATAAAGCTAAGAACAAGATAATAAATTTGAATAAGTGTTTGATTTTTTATATAAAATTGTTAAGAAACTAATAAATGATTTTACAAAACTAAATAAATAAAAAATTAATTAAATTTTAAATTAACATCTAATTAGTCTATATCAAGTAAATAGAAAATACATAAGTTGTAAGTAAGATGTTTTTGCAATCAAACAACAAAAATAAGTACTAATTAAATAATTCATTCAAATAAAAGAAAAAGTGATTGCATTTAATTTAGATGAATATTGATATTAATTTATAATAGGTATGTAATAATTAAATAAGTTATTAATGAAATTGTATTTAAATAATATATCTCATGAGAATAAAGCATTTAATAAATTACTTATTCAACAGCAAATGAGCTTGTTTGTGAACATTAATAGATGAGTTAGACCATGTACAAATTTGGTTCATTTAACCTTAAGTTTTAAAAGAAAATTCAGACTTATTTATTTATTGATCTGAATAAACATGATCGAGCATTAATCGAGTCTAGTTTGAGTTGTTCATCAAGCACATTGGTTCATTTACAACCGTACTCGTGAACCGAGCTCAATGAGTTAAGCCAAGTTCAAGCCAACCTACCTCAACTTGTTAGCATGTGAGCCAGTTCAACAAAAAAATATATATTAAAATAAAATATACTCAAAATATATTAAAAATTATTATTATTTCTTTAAATTATTAAAAATATATATTTAAAAATAATATTTTACATTTTATATCAGATGATTTTTTATTATTTATCCCCTAATTAATCATCATATTTGTCATTTTATTATAACATTATCTTAAAGTAATATTATTTTCTATATTTCATAATAAACAAGTTAGTTTGTAAGCTGGCTCAAACTCGTATACTTAAGCTAGAGCTCGAACTCGATTAATTAATCAAGCTCACGCTGACTCATCTCAACTCGACTCATTTACACCCCTAATCTAAAGCATGTAATTGCATAATTTTGATTGAATAAAATTTCTTCTAGTTTTCAATCTTGTATATGATTCCTTCGAGTGGGACATAGCGTGACTTCTGAAATTCAAGGCAAGTTATTTTGTTGTACCAGCGTAAGAACTACATTTCTTATTTTAGAAAATTATTTCCTCAATCTAATATATTCTAATTAATTTGTTATTGGTTTGCTAGTGTTCCGAATTTTGTTCAAATTTGGCATAATTGGGATTCTTATTATGATGAATAAATTGCAATTGCTAGCATATTTTTTGTGGTTAAAAATTTTTATCAATTTCTTCAATCATTGCATTCTCATTTAAGTTTTAATTATTGTATCTATAAATTTACATTGAAAGAAAGTAAATTTTGTGAATCTAGCGATTTGCGGCATGTGAATCTTAAGCACCATTGCATGAATAATGCTACATAACATCATTTTAGTTACATTAGAAAATCCTAACTTATGCAGTCCTGCATCAATCAAGTTCCGTTTGGGATCATTTTTATTTTTTGTTTTTCATTTTTTTAATTTTTTTTTGTTTTGTTTAGATTTAAATTAAAACATGTTTTGATTGAGCAACTTGATTTTAAAAACATTATTTTTTGACTGTTTTAAAAAAAATGAATTCTTTTTAAAACAAAAAATAAAAAATATATAACAATTATACCAACCTAAGAAAGTTTCAAAAAAGATAAGTAACAGAAAAAAAAAAATTAAAAACAAGAAACAAAAGTGATAACAAACGAGCAATTAGTAACAAGATCTACGAATCATATCAACATCAATCTAATTGAAATAGGGTTTAGGGTTGACCATGTTGATCAATAATATACCAAGAAAATGAATGCTTTAATTTTTCACCATGTGTCCGCTAGTTGTGTTGAATGAAAATACTAAAACTTCTACTTCAGGCTATATGGCCTTGAACAGATTCTTATTCAAAAATAACATAAGCAGAAAATTAAAAATATATATATAACAATTACCTTTGACGTATTTTTTCAAGTTCCCTGGGATCAGAGACTAAGACTTGAATACCCATTTGCATTTTTGTCTTCTGCAGGTTGAAATCAAGGCATGCAATTTTAGCTGGTGCAACTCTACTTGGCATTCCTTGTGCAGCACGGCCCGTATTCAGAGCATAACCATTCAGCAAGTAGCTATCTCTGGCACTTTTCCCATGAGCTTTCAAAATGTTTATGCCCTATTCAAATAAAAAGGTATTGTTAAAAAATGCACAAGAAATAGGTATTACCAGTGTCTTTCAAAGATAATCATGAAACAATTTCATACAACAGATAAATATCTAACAAAATTAAAATACTCAAATTCAAAAATAAATGGAAAAATTGGTAAGAAAGAAGGAATGTGTATTCAATTAGGATCACAGTATTGTGCATGAGGAGAAAACAAGATTTAAATTGTGCTGTATAAATTAATCAGATCATACAAATATAAAAAAACTAATATGAAAGATGTATGTGAAGTCAGTTAGGTTGATAACTCTTTGGTTAGAGATAGAGGTCAAATCGGGTTCGCAGTTTGGGTTTGAGTTTGACCTGACATTAACCTAACAAAAAACTACTTGACCCAAATCTGGCCCAAATAAACGGGTCAAAAAAAAGTCCAACCTGAACCTAACCGCCTTCAACCCGCTGACCCAACCTGTGCAACCCATTTAACATAAGGCATGAAAGCTATTCGAATCAAATTTCAGTCTATTTCGAGTCAATATTGGGAATTTTGAGTTTGCGTGTAAATTTTGAGTCAATTTCAGGTTAGTGAAACAGTTTTGAGTCAATTTCAGATTGGCGTGTCAACTTGAACCTGACTCGAAAAATTAAACATGTTAGATTCCTAACCTGAACCCAATCTGAAAAATTATTTAGGTCAACCAAAACCCATATTTTTTTAGTCGGGTTCTGGAAACAAAGTTGAAATTGGAAGGAATATAAAGTAAAATGATAACCCATCGACTTACCAACGTTGAGTTCACAATTGGAGTTTAGCTTGCATAGAATCTAGACTTCTCCGGAACAAAAAAGAGCTTAGCAATTCAGAAAAACAAACTGCTCGTTGAGCACTTAAAAATACACAAAAGCCAGGACTATTAGAGTTGGTCAAGTCAAGCAAGCAACAAGCCAAAGTCTATCAAGTATTAATCAAATCCTACAAAGTGAAAAGGGCTACTGTGAAATTGAAAAGTACTACTTAGACTTAAATAAAAACATTATAAGATTGTGGTGAGACCCGCAATTATTGATGTCGCAGAATGTTGGCCTTTAAAAGAGAAGCATAAAACTAGGTAAAATGTTCCTGAGATGAGAATGCTTAGATGGATGAGTGGCTCGACTCTTAGAGACAAAAGGCGAAACAAATGTATCCGGGAAAGGGTTGGTGTAGCTCCAACGGCAGGCAAGATTAGAGAGAGGCGTTTTAGATGGATTGGTCACATTAAACGTTGACCATCTGATTGTCCGTTTAGGAGAGTAGATGTTTTAGATTCAACTTATGTTAAGAAACGTAAAGGTAGACCTAAAAAGACTTGGGCATGTTGTATAAAAAATGATCTACATTTACTAGAATTAAATTAATATAAGACACTCAATGGGACACAATGGAGCAAAAGGCTTCATGTAGCCAACCCACTTAGTCCAAATGAAAAGGGATATGACAGAGAATTCTTCCTTCTTTATAGGCCTTACGGTCCTTGCCCTTCTCTGTCAAGGTCATGTGGGGAGGGAAGGGCCAGGCAACATCATAGGATCTATGCAGCTTAAAAGCAGGATGAATCAAATGCAGTTTTACAGATCAAGCATAAGCAGAATTTAATAATTTATTATATAGAAGTACCGAAGAAAAAACAGATAACGAAGGAATAAAGTAAGAATGAGCCCACTAAAAGAAAGGAGAAGGGTGGAGGATATGAGAGTATGACCCAAAACATGTTCTATTTAATTTTCCATGCAAGGATCCCCAATGTAAAACATAAGAAAGTAAAAGAATATTATGCCCTCAGGAGAACAACTTGCCAGCATAAACTAATTTGTTCCCTTTAACTAAACTAGTTGCCAGCATTTTGACACCGCTTTCACATAAAATCACAAAAATGTAAGGTCTGTGCTTCTAATACCAAAAATAAGAAGATGCAAACCAAGATATCCTTGCAACAATCAAAACGTAAAGCCAGAAATTTCTTTTACTAAAATTTAATGCAAAACTATATCTTCTATAATCAATTAGTTTTTCAATTAATAAATCTACTAAGCATACACTTGTTGGCTGTCATATGAGGAAAACATTCTGTCCTTTCGAAAGCTAACCTTGATAGGATATTTCACTTCACCTCTTGCATTTGTTGCCTTTACTGCTTGAACAGCATCAACAACCTAGCAAAAGTAGTCAAGAAAGCAAACATTAAATAAATTAAAGCAAATTTATGCTCAACAAAAGAGCTATTCTTAAAAACAGCTATATGAATTCTCCCTAAATATAGATTTGCTATAAGGCCATACATGCTTGAACAAGAAATTGAACAGGTACTTGAAATTAAAAGGTATCAATTAAGAGAGATATTCGGGTCAATTTCACATATAACTTCAAATCTTCACTATTTACTCTTTCCCCCATTTGTCAAATTCTCACCCAAATATCAAAATTCATAAAAAAACCCCCAGCCAATGATTTTCACTTCCATCAAATTTCCAACAGTTTAATCGCAAACCGAGCAAATATATTAGTTTACTGATTCAATTTTTTTAAGGCTAGTAATTCTATAAATAAGATAGATTTTGACGGCAAGTGCAAAACCTCCAGCAATTTTGTTAACAAGCAAGTAGACATTTGTTTAGTAAAATATATCTAAAGAAGAAAACTAAACCCTACAGTTAATAATGACCAATGATGGACGAGGACCGCCATGTTTAACATGGCATCGGTAGACTTTTTATAATATAACCATTGCCTTCTTATTTCCTAACAAGTCCGACCTGTTCGAGCTAGATTTTTAACAATTTTCACCTTTATGGTAGAACTTGCCCCAAAAAAGGAATCCCTTCTAGAAATTCTCAAAGAACAAATGGATGACCAGGCCCAATAGACACGAAACATATACACCAAGTGTTTTTGTTTGGCATCAGAAAAAAAAAATCACGTTAAGCCCATCCCAAGTGTTTAAAAGTGGTACACATGCACAAGAGTGCTAATATACAATCCAATTCAAACTTGAGGATGCTCAAAACTCACAGTTTGTTGAACTACGTAATCTACAAGGCAGAAAACTAATTGGGCATTAAGTAAGAAGAACTAATGGAAGGAGAATGTAAAAGGGAAGGTTAAGGTAAGACTCTGCATGCACAACTTTGACAGATTCATATAAACAATACGAACTAAGAGAGAACACTCGAAAATAATTTCATTCAACCAATCATTAAAGGTAGATCATCTAAATACAAGTCATCAAGCCTTATTTATAGAAATAGTTACAAAAATGATAAAATTTATGAAAACAAATTTAATACTACCAGAATTTAAATATAATGTAAATTTAGAATAACCTTTTTCCTTACTGAATACATAGATAAATCACCTATCAATAGGCGAGTACAAGAGATAAACGGAGGAAAGAAATATTCCTACAATTAAGTAATTCCTATAATTATGGAATAAACATAAATATCTATAATTAAGGAATTACCCTTTTTATACCATGACAAAATATAGCAAGTACTAAATAGAATAACGTAAATAATAATGAGCATAATTCCACACTCCCCCTCAAGATGGGTTGTACAGATTATACATGCTCAACTTGTTGGTTAGCTCATCAAAACTGGTCTTAGGGAGAGCGTTGGTGAGAATGTCTGCGGTTTGGTCTCTAGAAGGAGTATAGACCACTTCAATGATTCCATTGTCCACCTTCTCTGAAATGAAGTTTCTATCAATCTCAATG